TTATTGCTTCAATTTCTTATTTGTTTATAAAGGTGATGTTCAAATAAAAAGTGATGAATATCCACGTCAAGGAGTAACAATTGATTCTATGTCGAGATTAAAGACAGTATTCAAGGATGGTATGTATCTTAGTTCAGAGATAATTGTATATTTATTATTATGTTTTTCTTTTCTCAAGGTGGAACAGTTACTGCAGGGAATGCATCAGGTCTATTTTCTCTTATTTCAATAATTTAAATCATTCTATTAATATTGTATAGGTCTTAATGATGGAGCAGCTGCATTGATTCTTTGCTCGAATCGTACTGCTAAAATAAAGCAGCAAATACCTCTAGCAAAAATTGTTTCATGGGCACAATCAGGCATTGATCCACTTGTTATGGTATATGTTTTTGATTTTATGAAAATAAAATATAGAAATGCTTTTGTCATCTAGGGTTTGGCACCAATCAAATCGATTCAAGAAGCTTTACGAAAAGCTAATTGGTCTGTTGATACAGTAGATTTATTTGAATTAAACGAAGCATTTGCTGCTCAATCTGTCGCAGTTATTCGAGATCTTCGTATTAATCCAGAAAAGGTTCTTGTTTTGTGCTTTTTTTCTCCTCCATTTTGATTTTAATATCTTTTAGATCAATGTAAATGGTGGAGCGATTGCTCTTGGTCATCCTCTTGGTAGTTCTGGCGCTCGAATACTTGTTACTCTTATTCATACACTTAAACGAACAGGTTTAAAACGAGGATGTGCCGCTCTCTGCATAGGTGGTGGCATGGGTATTGCTATATGTATTGAAACTTATTGAAATTTAATTATGACTTAATTAAAATTTATTCATTCATTTGTTGTCTGAAACTTTATCTAGTCGTCCATATATTTAACTATACTGTTTGTCAACATTCTTGGAGTTTTCTTTGTTTGCAACATTTCTTCTGTTTTTTTTTATTGTCTTAGTACTTGCAGTATCGAATGAGCTTTGTATTTGTCTCACTATGAAAGAAAAAATAAACTAGTCGATATTGTGTACATTTTCGCCATAAAAAGAACTATAATGTAATCAAATGTCATCATGTAATTTTCTGCTGATGTACTGTTAGACAATCACTTTCTTGATGGAAAATTTTTCACCCTGATTTAACATTTCAATAAATGTAAATGTATCATTTTTATGTCACTAATATAAAGATATTAATGGATTTGCTTGTTTTTTTTTTTGTTGTTACAATCATTATTATTTGAAAGACTTCGTTTATTCTTTCTTCTATATGATGTTAATGTTCTTGGCGATGAAATTGAGGAATTATTAATATACGTGTGTTGAAGCGACAAATTGTTATCAGTTTCTCGTTTAATCATTATTTTCTTAAGGCGAAATATATTTGGAACTATCTTCTATGTTTATAATTGATCTTATTAGCTGATAGAAAAAGTGCCTCAATACATCTTATGAATATGTATGAATGTCAGTGTCACTTTGTGCATTTCTTTCTATTGGGCTTGTACAAACACATTTGTTTTTTTTTCTTCAGTACTTATATCCATTTCATACACAACATATTAATTACTGCTTAAGGGAGTTGTTTATTTGTAAATATTTTTCTCAATAATCGACTTTTTTTTGTATACATAAATAAACAATTGAAGTAGTTAGTTCTTATTTCATATTTGATTAGGAATAATTATCATAGAAAGCACGCACTGATAAGAAGACATGCATGTTAGTTAACTTAAGAGAAAGTGTCTTTAAGATGAATAATGGCGCTCAGCATTTATAAAAAGACAAAGCCAACAAAATGTACATATATATATATATGAAATTACAAATTCAATCCCGAATATTAAAATTATGCTAACAGTATTTTAAAGATAATGTTTTTTTATCAAGCAATTATTGATTTAAAATTTTTAAGTTAATCAACATATGATGTTTCACGAGATGTTTGTAAGAGCGCTTAATCTGTTCATGGATAATGTCGATGAAATTTTTAGGCTAGAGAAAAATAACTAATATTAACCATTTAATTCTTTTTAGGTCATTTTTTAACTCATTTATAGAAACTATCTGTTAGAAGCAATAAACCATTGAATTGAAATAGTTTTGAGTAACTTCAATAAGCTAAAAAGTTACAAAAAAATAAAACTTCTTTTCATCAAGTTTTGGCTACGACTTACGAGAACGAGAATATATGTTTGTTTTTTTAAATGAAAAAATCTCTGTTTTTTATCTTTTATTTTATTTAGTTGCATGGAATGATTATTGTGATGTATGTCAGATTGATGTATACTATTATAGACATAAAATGATTTCGAATCGAAATCAGAATCAATAATTCAATGTTATAAAAAAAAAAAAGACTAATGATGTCGACACAAACTAGGAAATTAGAGAACTGATTTCATTCGAATATAACCGCCTTTAAAATTATGTGATCATAAATCATCTCTCCGAAATCATGATAAGTAAGTTTCTGACTTTATACAGATAAACTAGCAATATAACTGAAAAAAACACGAAATAAAAAATCAAATTAACAATAGATTCAATTCTCATGTCATTCAAGACGTATGGTTCATTTATGGTCCATTCTTCATCTTTACAAACTAGTGACTTTACTCAAATTTAATTATGGCAATATCACAATCAGCATTTGCGTGATCTATTCTCGCAGTTGACTCAACAGTAACTCTATTCAATTAATGTCAGCGGATAAGAATTTGATTATAAACAATGTCTCCAAAATGTTCAATCTACTTATATTCAAGATAGGTTCCTTTTATTGATGATTTCTACTTTCTATACTGTTACATCAAAGCTTACAATCATTTTGAATATTAAAGCGTAAAAAAATGAACGGTTTAAATTGGTGAAAACATTCTTATCGATTCTATCCTCAATAATCACGATAATAAAACATTGATATGAAGGTATTACGAATACCAGTAGAATTCAAGATATAGACATGCGATCAAAACCCATCCACACATTACCTGCACTGATCCACTTTTTAGCAAACAAGCGTTCATTTACATACAAAATTTTTCTCCGAAATAAAATATTTCCGACTCAGCAATAGATATATTCCTCGATCCTATCAGGTCAATTGGGTCTATGAGAAAAAACAAAAGTATTACAACTTGCTGATAATCCTATGTTATATCTCAATAAACCCTCTACAGAGATTGTCCATTCGTTTGCCAAGACATCAAAGCAACTCCATTCGATATATAATTTAACAAGCTATCTATTGAATCTTGGTCTTCTTCAGCAAATGAATGGGCTATATAAAAAAAAAAAAGGCGAAAACTTTGCCAAACTCTCCTGAAATCTTGCACTAAAGCTGAATAAATCCTCTACAGTGAGTCTCCATTTGTTTGCCGACGCATCAAAAATACTTCAATCGACACAGAGTTTAAGGGTTATCGAATGAATGCCTTGTTCCATCCTGATAAATGATATTAAAAGGCAAGAAATGATAAAAGAGATTAGTGATTCAATTCCTATATTGCGGGTACAAATCACAAATACAATAATTGTTTTGAAAATGTCTTTCAGTATATGCATGATGCGTAACTCCATTCAGTATGAATCTTGCTATCATTTCTGGCTGAAGTTGTCTTTTTGCAAAATGATCTACAATGAGAAAAATAAATAACAAAGATTGTTTGCGTAATTATACGATGATGGTAGTCATTACTACTGTGATATAAAGTGTACCATCAACATTAATGCATAAAATCCAAAATTAAATATCTTTACCGTATTCTATATTTCGTCAGACCATTTTCGAGGGCATAACTAAATGCTCAGCTGATAGCCCATACAATTTTCATATCGATTTATGTAGGTTTCAAGCTTCTTCAAACGAATGGATAGTCGATGAAAAGGGTTTAGTGCAGTTTACCATCGAATTTTGGCGGAGTCTTGTTAAGCTTTCGTTCATTTGCACATAGGCCATTCGTTTATCGAGAGAGGACACGATACTCATTAGATAAGTCGTTAAATTTTGCATCGACTGATACGGGTTTAATGCTCCGACAAAAATAAATGGTGAGTTTTTGTAAGAGATTTAGTGAGGTTTAATATTGGATTTTAGGAGATTCTGACTGGCTGGCTTACGGCTATATTCATAGGGACTATTCGGTTGCTGGAAGAGAATGTCCAGTATCCACACTTTGTATCTATTGATATAAGTTCTATGCCTTGGTAAACGAGTGAACAGAAGCTACGATGAATTTATCAAGCGTATGCCATGAATTTTAACAAATTCTAGGTAGTTTAGGGCAATTTTCAGTACATAAATGAATCACTTAAATAAAATAAACTGTTGATTTTTGTAATGTTCTATGGACAGGACCAAGCGAAGGGCCTCAAGATAGCAATGAGTTTTAAAATTAAAGACATCACCCAAACGTGAACTATGTTCCAAGCAGAGATAGTCGAAATGGTTTCGAGCCCTAGCAGATGCCTATATAATATGTTGCAAATCTTTATGACGCTTATGCTGCGCAGTATCTCATGATTCTATTTTTGCTAAAGGAACATCGAAGAAATGGTTTTGTATTTTCAAAACATATCCACCGAGAACGAAAACAAACAGATATGCCAAACATGTCAGTATGAGCAAGAACGCGTTATAACGCCGCCCATTAATGATTTTGACCAATAATCATTGATAAAATAAATAAATATTTCTTTTAAGAGACAAATAAATTTGTTTTTTTTTGTCTTTTCGTTGCATGTTTATTTTATATGTTTGTTTTTTTCCTCACATGCCAACATTTAAACAACGAAAAGAGAAAAAAAAAAGAAAGAAAAGGAACAACAGTTAGTTAGATCTTGATAGAAGATAATAATAATAATAGTAGTAGTAGTAATAATAATAATAGTAATTGATGACACATGTGATCGATCGAAGAAAAAAAAAAAAAAAAAAAAAAAAAAAAAAAAAGAAAACAAAGAAAAGAAATTAAAAAGAAAGAAAGTAAACGAGAAACTATACAATTAGACCAACCAAATTTTATGCATGTCCGATTGACCAAATGCTGTATTACATTTTGGACATTTTCGTTGACGTGAATCATATCTTGATTTAAGACAATCATAACAAAAAACATGAAAACATTTGGAAAGTATTGCATCACGTTGTTTATTTTTACATGCTGGACAACGAAGAATTTCTTTATATTCACGTATTTCTTCTAATAAAACTTCATCTTTATTTGTTGCCATTTCTAATTTACGCATTCGTTCTAATTTTCTATTTAAATTTTTTAATTCTTCTTGTAATCTAAAATGAAAAAAACAAAAACAAAAACTTTAAAAATAATTGAATTTTATTTTTGTTTTTTTTTGATCGTTTTAATATACCGTCGATTTTTAAAATTTTGTTGTTCAAGTGCTTCAGATTTTTCAGCAACTAATTCTTGAACTTCTTTTAATTGTGCATGATAACGATCAAGATGAAGTTTTAAATCAGCTGATGTTTGTGCACTTTCAATTGTTTTTCGTTTATGAGCATCTAATGTTTGATGCATCATACTTAATTCTTTTTCAAGTATAAGTACACTATTACGAAGTAATGCTATTGTTTCTTCATATTTTTGATTCATTATTATCTACAAAAAGAAAAAAATATATATTAAACAAGAAATAATATTATTTATATTATTAACTTGTGCATCAAGTTGTTCTTGTAAAACATTTGTTTGTTGTGCTAAAAGTGTTTTTTCATCCGACATAATTTTTTGTGATTGTTGTAATTTAACACGTTCAACCATAAGTTTAATATGAGCATCATCTTTTTCACGTAATTGAGATAATAAACGACTATTTTGTTCTTGCATATCTTCAAATGCTTGACCTGTTACTTCAATTTCATTAAGTAATGCTGCTTCTTCTTGTTTACGTGTTTCTAAATTTTTTTCAAGATCACGAATTGTTTCTTGAAATGATCGCATTTTATTTTGAACCTTAAAGATCAATTGATAAAAATCTTTTAAATAGAAAATAATTTATTTTAAATTCAAATGAGAAATTCTTAAGTTCAAAGCAAATAAAATTCGTATTGTATTATTATTAACGAGACAAATAAATATCGACAAAAAATTTTTCGTTTCTGACAAATTTAGACAAAACCTTATCGTAATATTCTTACAACAGAAAACTACTTGAACTAATACTCATCGTTTGAACTCAAATTGAACCCGCAATGACGTATTAATGCTTTTTCGAATATTTTAAGGATCATTCGATTTATTTTGTAAGAAGAATTTTATATTAAAAGACTATTTTTTTTTTAAATTTTCCCATATATATATTTAAAACTGCACCGAAAAATTCATTTAAATGACCCTAATCTAACACCAAGCATTTATGAATACAAAATCTTATAACTTTTTGCAAGTCTTACTAAGACAATCAAGTGAGTTCAATGTAAGTAAAAAAGGGCGAGTATGAATATGTGTGGCCGTCTCATTCACTGATCATCATTGTTTGAATATTTCGAATAGTGTTAAAGATTAAAATATAAAATATTCTCTGTTTGCCTTCGTCAGATATGATACTAAACTCATTGATATCAATCTCAAGTAAACCCGATCTATATATTTTTGTTCAAAAAAAATCATCCACCTCAGTAAATTGTTCATTTTAGATGATTAACTTACTTCGTCTTCATTACATTTTTTTCGTAATGTTTTTGCATAATTTTGAACTTTTTTAAGTTCATTTCGAGTTTCATCAAGTTCTTGACGTAATTTCTTTTCTGATGTCATTAAATTCGCTTTATCACGTGTTTCTTTAGGTGCACTTCTACAAATAATTCAATAATTAGTTTTGTTGATTGAAACTATTTATTATAAAATGATAATATTATTTACCTATACATAGTTAATAATATTTTATATTCTTTAACAACATCCGATAATTTTTTATTTTCACTTTTAAGTGTACGTATTTCCGTATCTTTATCTTCTGTTGTCATTGCATTAGATGAAAGACGTGAAAGAGTATTTGATGTTGAACTATCATCTAAATCACCTTCCGTTACATCACCAAAATCTAATAGAGAATTTTCACCTAAACGACTATCATCATTCTAAAGAAAAGAATAAATCTTAATGATTAAATTTTTGATAAATTAAATTAAATAAACAAACTCCTTCAGTTGATTCTTCTTTTTGTATTATTTCATTTTTAATAACAGTTGCTGTTGATGTTGCAAATGGATTTGTTATTTCATCTTTATTCGATGGTGATTGTGGTTGATTTATTGTATTTATTGAACTAGCTGATGTTGGTTCTGATGTAATCATACTTAGTTGTGTATTAAGACCATTACTTATAATTGTTTCTTGTTTTGCTTTAAGTTTAGTTAATTCTTCTTCTAATTCTTTACATTGTTTTTTACAACGACTTGCTTCTAAACTATATAATTTACATTGAGCTTGTAAATGATTTATTAAACTTCGCATTTCACGTGCTATAGGTACTGAGAACAAAAAGAAAAAATTTAATAAAAAGAAAAAAATTTTCATTTTGAAAACCTGATTGTTGATTAGCAATAAGAACTTTTTCATATTCAACTTGAAGAAGATCATAATCACGACGTGCTTCTGCTAAATCAGCAACAACTTGTTCGATATTAGCAATTAATTTACGTTGATTTTCAAATTCTTCTTGCTAAAAAAGAATAAAAGTTTTTTTTTATAAATAAAAAAACAATAATTTTCACTTCAATTTTTTCAAATTGATGATCATAAGTTGTTTTTGTACATTTAACAAGTTCTCGAGCATCAGTTAATTGATGTCGAAGATGTACACTTTCATTAACTAAAGCTGTATAACGTGATTGAAGACATTTAAATTCAGGTGTTTCATTTATAAGTTCTTCTGGTAATGAACGAAGCTAAAGAATTAATAAACAAATTAGTTTTTTTTTTTTCTGAAAGTAAAAATATTCTGAGCAAACAGAAAGTAATGGTTGAAATATGTTAATTTCTTATGAAAAGATTAAAGAAACTTTTTCTCTACATGAGCTCCTAGTAACAACAATACTTTATATGTTTCTCATATTTTAATTTATCTTGAACTGATATTATAATGATAGAATATCGATAAGAACTGTTTTTATTATGATATGTAACAATCACTGTCATCATGACAGGACGCTCGAATTTCTTGAGAGTAACACCAAATAGTCTCCTGATAACATTTTTTTCATGAAAAGTCATTTGAAATTATTTATTAAATACAAACATGAAGTCTTTCAGAATATGTGTCATCTATGTAACTCCAATAGCTACTAAATATTCATTCGAATTTATCAATATTTAATACGAACTCTTTCGGTTCCGAGAAGATTCAACATCTCTTATGAAAATATAAGAGCATCTAGCAAATAACAAAAAAAAAATGAATCTAGTCCTGCTATTAAATGATCATGAGAGACTTCAATTCAATTAAATGATGACACTCAGTTACAAAGAATCCTTGTTTTTGTATAAATAGGCGACTGGTGTAATGCATCTATGCTATAAAAAAAAAAGCAAGATCTCGGCCTAATAAGAATTCTTCATCAAGAATAAAATTAAAATGATATGTTTTACTGCATTATACTTACATGAACAATATCCTTTTGAAATGATAGAGAAAAGATTTGAGCATTGCATATAAACATGAATAAATTTTTTTTATTAGGTTACTAATCCGAAAAATATTTCTTTGAATTCTTTATAAGAAATGAAAAAATTTCTGTCACTAATTTTTTCTATGTTGAACTAACTTGATTTTTAAGTATTTCAATTTCTCGTTTTGTTGTTTCATGATCACTCATTAATTTTTCTAATTCAGCAAGACGACCAGCTGCTAATTCTTTATATTCTTCAATTTCAGCTTGTAAATCAGCATACTTAAACAAAAATATATAAAATTATATTTAATTTAATAATAAAAGAAAAAAAATAATTTACTCTATTTTCAGTAATAATAACTGTATTATTATTTGAATTATTTGAATTTGAATCTGGATCATGTTTAATATCATTTACTTGAAATTTTAATCGATCACGTTCTAATTTTGTAATAGCATCTGCTAATGAACGTTCTAATTTTGTTTCTTTACTACGAGATTTTTCTAATTCATATTCAAGATCAGATAAATGACTTTTTCTTTCAAGTAATTGTTCTTCTTGAAGAACTAATTGATTATTTAAATCTGAACACTATAATCACAAAAAAAAAAAGAATAATTTATGTTTTAGATAAAAAGAAAATCAATTTTCTAGAATTTTTACTCGAAGAGTTATTTCATGAATACGACTTTGTAAAGTTGTATTTAATCGTTGAATTCGATCATTTTCACGTTCAAGATCTGCATTTCGTTCCAAAACAGCTTTATAACCTTCATTTGTACATTCTAAATTAATTTACAGGATTCTTCAAATGAGACTTGTAGAATTTACTGGTGGATTATAAAAACTTAAAATAGTTTGTTTTCTTTTCAAGATATGACAATTTTTAATAATTTTCTAACATAGTGTAGGAAGAGATGGCAGAGAAAAAAAACGAATGTCACCATCTTGATCTCCAATTCGGGTCATAAACAGTTCTGATTACTTCTATTATATGAAAAAGTTTCTGCTAGAACAAATGTTTTCTTTTTGTAATAATAGTTCGAGATTTTCCTGAATCGTTTCTAAAAATATACATTCTCGCTGACGCTTTCGGTTCCTGATAGAGGTCATAGGAACTTTTTGTGACCCAAATTCAACGACAATATGACGACATTCACTTCTCAATAATATTTCCTATGTTATACAAGAAACTTATTAAAAACTGTGACAATCGGAAAAGAAAACAATAAGAGAATGAATCATTCTAGATGTTACTTACGCACAATAGACTTGAGCTAATGTTACAAACTCTTGTTGAAAAAGATTTTTATTATTTGGATAGGTTTCCTCATAAGAAAAAACTAAACATTATAAATTTTTGATTATTAAAGATGAAAATCAAAGAAAAGATAAATTATGATACTATGAAATAATTTATTACAATAAGATGATACATTTATTTTAGTTTTCTTTTTTTTGTGAGATTCGTCTCATTGTTATTAAATTTGTTTTTATATAAAATATGAAAAAGTATTTTCAATAGTATTATAGATAATAATTTTACTCGATTTATTTTCAATGAAACACATATTTTCATGATAAGCTAAGCGATAATTTTCTTATCATAGAAAGAAAAACCTATTTAAAAGAATAATAAATTTAAGATTTTCACGTTTCTAGCAGTTCTCATAAACTTCTATCTCATTCAATCTACTGTTATTTTATAAACGTGTCGTCAAATTGAAATAATCAAAATCTTCAATAGAAATTTTACCAGGAATTGAATTCGTTTCACCGGTAGATGATGAAGAATTGATTGAAGTAAATAACCGTTGAAATTTATCGATTAAACTATTATTAAAAAAAAACAAAAAACGAATTATTTAAAGAAAAATTGATCATGAACTGGTTTTTGTTTTGAACACATACTTATCAAAAACTCGTACAAGTTTAACAATAGCTTTGGTAGAAAAATCTAAACGTTGTTTAAGATGTTCATCAAGATCTTCACGTAACCATGTATTTAATTGATGAATATATGAACGAATTTCTTCACCTTGTCGTTCATTATTTGTATTTGAATTTATTATATTTGTTGTGTTACTATTTGATGTAGTTGAATCATTTGTTAATGATGATGATGATGATTCATTATTTCCATCTGTTGATGTTGTTGCATCAAATCGTTCGAGTAATCGACGAATATTTTCATCAAGCTAATTTAAAAAAGAAAAGAATTTAAATCTATATAATAAATATAAAAAATTATACTTGTGTCCAATAAAGATCGATCATACTCCATTTACAATCAACACTAGCTTTATTTGTTTCTAATTGATCAATCTTAGATTTCCATTCAACTTCTGCTTTACGACAATTTTGTACACATTCAAATAATTTTTTATTTTGAATAAGTAAAAGTTTTGCATCAAGTTCTTCCTAATAAAAATTAAAAACAAAACTCTTTCAATAAATAATAGTTTGTTATCTAATATCAAAAATAACTTACAGCACATTGTACATCAATTAATTTGAATGGTTCAAAGACTACAACACGTTTACCATTATTTTGACTATCACTTTCAGCTGTATCATCAAGACCAGCATCAGATAAAGTACGTTTTTTATTTGATGATATGGAAGAATTCGATTTTTTTGAATTTGTACTAGTAGACGCACCAGCAGCGTCACTCATATTTACAAATGATATATATTAATCTATAAACAAAATTAAATAAAAAAAAAAAAAAAAAACAGAAATATTATTTACTTTACAGAATATAGAACTATAATCAGACTAGACTATACTATAGATATAAACATAGAAGAAGAATATATAGTCTAATCCACGAGTAATAATTGTTGTTCTATTCACTTTTCACTGGAGAAATTATTCAAGGAATAAATGATAGATATAGATAGAATATAAATAAACATGTTGATCACAGTGACATCTTGTAATATTTCATTGGTTAGAATAATTATAACCAATACGTAAGAAAATTTATGAAAAAAAAACGATAAAATAATATACTGCAAATAGGAGAAAAAGAGAAAACTGAAATATGTTATTTTGAAATCACTCTATTCTTTTATTCATTTTTGTAGAATAAAATGGGACAGAGGAAGAATTCAAAACCTATGAATTATGACCGAACATTTGATTCAGATGAAAAAGTAATAAGATTTTTAAATAAAAACTATTCTTATTATTTCATTCTGTAGGATTTATTGACACTTAAAGGTTATGTGAAAGCTTTTGATTTATGTGAGAATGATTCCGATGTATTTGCTCGTCTAGCAAAAGAAATGGATGAGATCGATGTTGATGTTTGGAAGAATCAATTAAAATCGAAAAAAATGTTTCAATCAGCAAAATACCTTTTTTCCTATTGGAAAAATAATATTGAGAATAAACGAGATGAAATAAATAACTTAAGAAAATTTATTGAAATATTTTCACTTCTTGAAAATGTTTTTCGAAATGTTCTACTTCGACCATATATACCTACTTATCGTGTCATCAATATGAATTGTGGTCGATATTGTTCATTTGTGACAGAATCTGATAAAATTCTGTTTCATAAATTAAATTTTCATGAAAATTCCTCAAATCTATTAGTTTACCATGGAAATGATTCAATACAAACAATTATTTATGCTATAACATGTGCCATCTTCTGGCATACACTATCAATGAAATTAAAACATAAATAACAATTATCTAAAGGTAGCACGATATCAAGAGCAAAATTTTCTAACATATTACTATAAATATTTTTTTAAAGGATTTTTTTTATTGATTTTATATTTCAATAATTTTTATTTATTTAATTGAATATATATATATTCTTATAGATAAGAAATGTCTTCACGTGCAGTACGTAAAACGATAGGTCATACAACTGAAGATGATCTTGCACAAGTATTACAAAAAGTTGGTATTGATAAACATGATAATGATGATGAATCTGATTTAATAATAACAAGAGTAAATGATCATCGACGAAATGTATTTGAAATGTTAGTAGATGAAGATGATGATGAAAAAACAACTATAGATGATGATAATCAATCAAATGATGTTGTACAACAACAATCTACAACATCAAAAACAAAACGAAAACGTAAAATAAAAAAAAAAAATAATCAAATTCAAAAAAATGATCAAGTAATTAATAATTGTAAAAGTAATTGAATAATTTAAATATAAATAATAATATTTAGAATAATGATGATGATTTTTTGATTGAACCAAATGAATCTCAACAAGAACCAGATTCAATTTCAACAATATCAAAAGAATTATTTTCAAATTTACTTTCAGTTGATAATCGTTTTTTAAATCCATTAAATGAAATGAAAAAAAAATTTGGAAGTAGTATTGTTGAACAAATTGAACGTGAAAATAATCTTACAACTCAATCAGGATCAACTACTGTCTTAGCTCAACGGTAAATAGTAAATATATCGTTTTTATTCATTTTTTAAAAATGAAATCTTTTTTATTTAAATTATAGTCGTCGTGCATATCAGATGTTACAACAACGTCCAACAACTCGATTAGCTAAACAAAATGCATTTATAGTTCCTAAATTAGGATGGCCAATATATTATAAACTTGGTAAGATGTTGACGAATCAAAATCTGAGTCAAACTTTTTCTTTTGTCATAGTTCGATAGAGCTCGTTGAGGTACTTCCGACAAACAATATGTTTGTAGTGAAAATTAGATTAAAAAAAAGAAAGGAATCAGAAAAGTCATCTGTCATTTGGTTAGATAAATAAAATTATGCATAGTGTTGTTGAAAAGTATTCTTTTATTGTTGCAAAAAAAAAACATCGATTTGTTTTTCGATGTGATAGAAAAGCGCCATAAATACAGATTTGTTTTCAGAGATATTGCCCATCGAAACTTGAATCGAATATCATATTGAGAATTAACAGAAAAATTTGTATCGAACAATATGCTCAATAATTAAAATAAATCTTCATTAAATTTCAAATTTAGAAGAAACACAGGTCATAGCTTTCGAAAAATGATAGTAAAGGAAATGTGACAAAAAATTGTCTTAAATATTGAGTATATTATTCAATGTAGATTTTTCTGTTGATTCTAAATATAATATTCAAAATGAAGCTTTGATGGTCAAAATAGATTTGTTCAAAAAGTATTTATAGATTTTTTTTTTCTTAATCATATGGCGAGTAAAATAAAAAAAAAAGCTGTTAGTGTGCAATCATCACAGGATTAAAATATGAAATACGATGCAGCTGCACTTGTCAATTGTAGAGAGATTGTTTTTTTTTTTTTTCTATCTATTTTATGATGCATTTCTTCATCATCCTTTTTATTTAATTCTACAGAAATGCAATAAATAAGTAGTTCATAAATTATAGTGTGACTTTATTGATATACAGTCTAAGATCATATATCAACAATGTCTGTCATGATCTGTGCGAAGAGATGAAAGAATGTAGGTACGAATTTTATTCTGTATACATCAACACTGTTGAGATCGTATTTCATAAAAGTTCGGACAAATATAAAGATTACAAAGACTTGGTTTGTTTTAGCGGATATAGACTTCTCTGATTGTTTAAATCTATGGCAAAAGGTACATTTTAGAGATAAGTCGAAAAGCTTTATCCAATCATGAAAAAACAAACATATGTCAAAGAAAAAGATTGCTAAAACTTCTGATTAGAGAAACGTTATGTTTTTCTAATTGAATAAAACGCTATTTTTTTTTTAAATAGGTTTATCAATGAAACCATCATCTCCTGTGTCTGAAACAACATTAACGAATGGAAATTATTTTCAATTTGAATATGATAAAGATTATCAACGATTAGAAATTCAATTTTTTGATTCTGTTGATGGTCATAATCTACAAGGAATTATGGTTTGTTTTGAATTTCTTCTTAGTAAAAAAAGAAAGAAAATACACATTAATCTTGAATTAAATATTAAATAGGATATTCTTCGTCAATATCCATATCATATTAATGCACTTCTTCATTTAAGTGATGTCAGTCGAATGCAAGATGATACACCAACAGCTGTTGATCTGATTGGTATAATAATAACGATTTGTTTTGTTGTTTTTTTTTTTTTTTAATACAAAAAAAAAACTCATGTCTATTTCTATTAAAATAGAACGTGCTTTATATAGTTTTCAACAATCATTTCATCCACTTTTTTCAATAATACGTGGTGAATGTCGTCTAGAATATCGAATACAAGCAAATCGATCGTTTTTTATTTGTTTATTTAAACATATAATTTATATTGGTGAACGAGGTTGTTCAAGAACAGCATTAGAATTTTGTAAAGTACTTTTAAGGTAAAATTATCAATTAAAATACAAAAAAACAAAACGAAACATTTCTTTTTTGTTTTTTTGTTTCTCATTGAATTTATTTAGTCTCGATCCAATTGATGATCCACTTGCAATTCTTCTTCTTCTTGATTATTATGCAATACGTTCTGAAGAATATAATTATTTAATACATTTTTATACTGAACAAAATCAACGTTTAAATCTTGATGGTTTACCAAATTTTGCTTATTCAATAGCACTTGCATATTTTCATTTATCATTATTTGATAAAGCAAATGAAATTTTACAAAATGCTCTAATTCGTTTTCCATCTATACTTAAATATTTACTTGATAAATTATCAATAAAACCCGATAGAACAGTAGAAAAATGTCGATATTTTTTTGATAGTGAAAAATATGAAACAAATGCACTTAAATGTGTACAACAATTATATATTGTAAGAATGTCACATGAATGGAAAGAAAAAAATGAATTGGAATTTTTAAAAAATAATGTTAATCAAGTTATATATATTATTGAACAAAATCAAGATTCAAGAATTGCTAATTATACAAAATTGTAAATATTGAAATTTATACATTTGAAAAAAATAATAATAATAAAATAAATTTTATTCGATTTTAGACGAGAAACATGTTATCGTAGAACACCAATTAATGTTTGTCGACATATTATTTTATCAGAATCAAATGAAATACGAGGATTTTTACCTAATGTAAATATTTGTAAGAAAATTAAAAATTAGTGTAAGTTTTTTTTTTTTTAATTGATATAGGATATGGAAAATGATGGTAGATTTTATAACGTTGATCCATTTCCTCCAAATGATTCAATTGCTAGTTTTCAAAGACCGGAAAGGTAAATTTCAATCATTTTTCTTATTTTTATTTTATTTCAGAATATGAAGTAAGAGGTACAATATTTATTCTATTTATCATTATTTTTTTTATCTATAGTTTTTAACTTTGAATAGAAAAAATTTAGACAAAGATTAAATTAAGTACATAGGATGTTCAAAAAACAAACACACTAGCTTATTGTAGAGTAGAGTGACGATATGGCATTTATTTCTGTACCACCTTAGAAGCTTTGATGGAAACTCAAAAAGTTAAAGATCATTTTCATTTTTGAAGGTCGATTTTTTAATCAATATTGATGCATATACAGTAGCGGTTGATAAAAACAATACTTTATCATTTGCTAAGATTTCCAAAAAAAAGCTTCTTGTTTCTAAGTTGAATAATAAAATATTGTTGATAAACCTCGATATGATCAAAATATCATTAAGCATGGCAAATATATATTGATCTGACTTTTGTCACATATAATTAATGATGTAACATACCATC